TTTTTTTTTTTTTTTTTTTTTTTTTTTTTTTTTTTTTTTTTTTTTTTTTTTTTTTTTTTTTTTTTTTTTTTTTTTTTTTTTTTTTTTTTTTTTTTTTTTTTTTTTTTTTTTTTTTTTTTTTTTTTTTTTTTTTTTTTTTTTTTTTTTTTTTTTTTTTTTTTTTTTTTTTTTTTTTTTTTTTTTTTTTTTTTTTTTTTTTTTTTTTTTTTTTTTTTTTTTTTTTTTTTTTTTTTTTTTTTTTTTTTTTTTTTTTTTTTTTTTTTTTTTTTTTTTTTTTTTTTTTTTTTTTTTTTTTTTTTTTTTTTTTTTTTTTTTTTTTTTTTTTTTTTTTTTTTTTTTTTTTTTTTTTTTTTTTTTTTTTTTTTTTTTTTTTTTTTTTTTTTTTTTTTTTTTTTTTTTATTTTTTTTTTTTTTTTTTTTTTTTTTTTTTTTTTTTTTTTTTATGGTATTCCATGTATGGTATTCCATGTATTGTATGGTATTCCATGTATGGTATTTTTTTTGTATTTGTATGGTATTCCATGTATGGTATGGTATTCCATGTATGGTATGGTATTCCATGTATGGTATTCCATGTATTGTATGGTATTCCATGTATGGTATGGTATTCCATGTATGGTATGGTATTCCATGTATGGTATTCCATGTATTGTATGGTATTCCATGTATGGTATTCCATGTATTGTATGGTATTCCATGTATGGTATGGTATTCCATGTATGGTATGGTATTCCATGTATGGTATTCCATGTATGGTATGGTATTCCATGTATGGTATTCCATGTATGGTATTGTATTCCATGTATGGTATTCCATGTACGGTATTGTATTCCATGTATGGTATTCCATGTACGGTATGGTATTCCATGTACGGTATGGTATTCCATGTATGGTATTCCATGTATGGTATGGTATTCCATGTATGGTATTCCATGTATTGTATGGTATTCCATGTATTGTATGGTATTCCATGTATGGTATTCCATGTATGGTATGGTATTCCATGTATGGTATGGTATTCCATGTATGGTATTCCATGTACGGTATTGTATTCCATGTATGGTATTCCATGTACGGTATTGTATTCCCAGTATGGTATTCCATGTATGGTATGGTATTCCATGTATGGTATTGTATTCCATGTATGGTATTCCATGTACGGTATTGTATTCCATGTATGGTATTCCATGTACGGTATGGTATTCCATGTACGGTATGGTATTCCATGTATGGTATTCCATGTATGGTATGGTATTCCATGTATGGTATTCCATGTATTGTATGGTATTCCATGTATTGTATGGTATTCCATGTATGGTATTCCATGTATGGTATGGTATTCCATGTATGGTATTCCATGTACGGTATTGTATTCCATGTATGGTATTCCATGTACGGTATTGTATTCCCGGTATGGTATTCCATGTATGGTATGGTATTCCATGTATGGTATTGTATTCCATGTATGGTATTCCATGTACGGTATTGTATTCCATGTATGGTATTCCATGTACGGTATGGTATTCCATGTACGGTATGGTATTCCATGTATGGTATTCCATGTATGGTATTGTATTCCATGTATGGTATGGTATTCCATGTATGGTATTCCATGTATTGTATGGTATTCCATGTATGGTATGGTATTCCATGTATTGTATGGTATTCCATGTATGGTATTCCATGTATTATGTTGCCTTTTATATTTCATGTTATATATTTTATATTGTTTTTCCCTGCAGAGGATTTTCTTTATGTTGGAGACGTGTTCAGCCACGTGGAAGATCCTCTTTCTACTTCCTTTTTATGAAAAGATGAAACCACAGAAGAGGATGTTGTGCGATAACTCCGCTGATATATTTCTTATATTTTTGCTGATTTATGTTGTTATAATAAATAATAAAAAAAACAGAAGTTTGTTGCTCTGAGCCGAGTTTGGCAATTTCCTGATTACGGATCCCCTCCGATCGCATCCCCCCATCTATTATTGTACTGACTCCCCCGCCCGATAGAATTTAAAGTGAAACCGCAGAAAGGACAACTAAGAGGGGCCCTTAGAACAATTTCAGGCTCAGGGTCCAAAACCAAGAATGATCTTCTCTTTGTTTCCTTTTGCTCTGTTAAAGCTGTAAAAAAAAAAAAAAAAAAAAAGGAAAAGATTTTTCATATTGCAGCTTTCCAATTCATAGATGCAGCAGCTGCATTAGTTTTCCTTTTCTTCAATTTTCACCTGGTGATCTGCCCAGTAATGCCGGCCATCCGCGGGTCAAATTCTGAACAAATTTTCTTTAGAAAATCAGAAATTTTGTAACCCGCTGATTTCAAAATTCGACCCACCGAGCCTTCCGTTTCACCTCGTGTTGCTGCAGAAAAAAGGATTTTCTTGGCCAGGGAATCTTCTTGTTTCTTTTTCGATTCTGTTTCTCACACTATTCTCCCATCATGGATTAAAAATTCATTCGCTAATTTTCGAAAGAAAATTCTTTCAGAATTCAACCCGTGTGTGGCCTGCATCAGTCTGTGGTTTTTCAAAAGAACAAGCCCCATCCCCTCTGCAGATGTATCAGAGGGATGAGACAAACCATTTAGCACTGACGGGGGGGAGGGGCTTACAATGATCAGCTTTTACTTATGTCAAATCTTCATTCCAAAAAGGAGAAAAAAAAAATATTGTAACCGATTTTAAAGTTGGAGTCTGGCTCCAGGTTGTTAGTGTATGTAAATCTGCTAGTTATTTGATCACGGATACGTTGTTGGGGTTGTATTCGGTGTGCGCAAAGCGGACCATGATAAAAAAATTTGTAAATGCATTGAAAACTAATTAATCTGTTCCGGGGGATCAGAAAAAAGTAAAAAAAAAAAAAAAAAAAAAAGTCTTTTTATCTGTTCAAAACTCTTTATAAATTGCACTTTAAAAAGGCATAAATACTCTACAGCGACATGATAGAAAAAAATTGTAAATGCATTGAAAACCAATTAATTAATCGGTTAATATTGTGCAAAAAAATTTGCAAATGCATTGAAAAACAATTAATCCGTTCCAGAGATCAGAGAAAAGTAGAAAAAATCTTATCTGTTCAAAACTGTTTATAAAGTGCACTTTAAAGGCATAAATACTGTACAGGGACATGATAAAAAAAAAAAAATTGTAAATGCATTGAAAACCAATTAATCCATTCCGGAGGTCAGAAAGAAGCCAAGAAAAAAAGTCTTTTATCTGTTCAAAAAAAAATGTTATAAAATGCACTTTAAAGGCATAAATACTGTACAGGGACATGATTAATTGGTTTTCAAGGCATTTACAAAAAATTTATCATCATGTCCCTGTACAGTATTTATGACTTTGAAGTGCACTGTATAACTTTTTCTTGGCTTCTTTCTGACCTCCGGACTGATTAATTGGTTTTCAATCTATTTACAAATTCATTTTTAATCATGTCCCTGTACAGTATTTATGCCTTTAAAGTGCACTTTATAAAGAGTTTTGAACAGTTAAAAGACTTTTTTTTTACTCTTTTCTGACCTCCGGAACAGATTAATTGGTTTTCAATGCATTTAATAGTTTTTTTCACAATCTGAACAGATGAATTTGTAAATGGATTGAAAACCAATTAATTTTTAATCATGTCCCTGTAGAGTATTTATGCCTTTTAAAGTGCACTTGATAAAGAGTTTTGAACAGATATAAAAAAAAAAAAAAAAAAAAAAGGTCTTTTATCTGTTCAAAACTCTTTATCAAGTGCACTTTAAAAGGCATAAATACTCTACAGGGACATGATGAAAAATTAATTCATAAATGCATTGAAAACCAATTAATCCGTTCATATTGTGCAAAAAAATTTGCAAATGCATTGAAAAACAATTAATCCGTAGAAAAAGTCTGAATTGTTCCAAACCGTTTATAAAGTGCACTTTAAAGGCATAAATACTGTACAGGGACATGATAAAAAAAAAATTGTAAATGCATCGAAAACCAATTAATCCATTCCAGAGGTCAGAAAAAAGCCAAGAAAAAGTATTTTATCTGTTCAAAAAAACATTATAAAATGCACGGACAGTGTGCAGGGTCCCTCAGCAGCAGCTCCCAGGGCACTCAGCAGCAGACAGCTTCCAGGGACACGCAGCCACGGATAGTGTGCAGGGTCCCACAGCAGCAGCTCCCAGGGCACTCAGCAGCAGACAGCTTCCAGGGACACGCAGCCACGGATAGTGTGCAGGGTCCCTCAGCAGTAGCTCCCAGGGCACTCAGCAGCAGACAGGGTGCAAGGGTGCCCAGTAGACAGGCTTACAGACTGGCAGGGTCTCAGCTGTGGGGTCTGACCTTTGAGGAGAAGGCTCATGCAGAGCTGTGGAGACTCCCAACCCTGGGGTATTACAGAGGGCTACAGTCCTGACCTTTTGGGGGTCTGCAGAGTGCACAGGGGGGGATGGCTGGAGACGCTCGGTCCCCCTCACCCGAGCCTCCCAGCATCTTTCTGGGAGCAAGATGATTCCAGCAGCATGGACAGGAACAGAGAGAAGGGCTGCTTCCTGTGCGGGTCTTTTGAAAACCACGCGGGACGCGGCTAGGTTGCCTCAGCAACGGCCAGTCCTGTCCTGTCCATGGAAGCTCCACGGACATCGGAATGTGCAAGGGGGAAGGGAGGGGTGGAGAGATATGGCAGGGGATAGGAGAGGCACTGGCAGTCTGTGACAACTCCTCCCCCTTCCATTTTACAAGTGCCGGCAAGGGGACCTCAACAGGTCTCCTTGGAGGCACTTGTGGGGTGCTATCGCTCTCCATCTTCTTCCGCGCTCTGGTCCTCCACCGTTGCCACCAGTATAACGGAAGCGTAGGCAGGACAGAGCACACGGAGAAGATGGGGAACACACAAAGCTTTATTGAAGCAAAATGACAGACACTCAATAGGGAAATGGCAGGGAGGGTGATGTGTGCACAAACCAGGGACAATTCCAGGCATGGGGGGTCTTCGGCGACAGGCAGGCAATCTCCCCCCTAGGCTTGGGGCCTCAGCTGAGCTCCCTCCGTGACTGGACAACGGATTGGAGATTTGGGCAACAGGCGGGCAATCTACCCCTGAGCAGGGGTCTTGAGCAACCTACCACTGGGCAGGGACCTCGGGCAACAGGCGGCAACCTACCACTGGGCAGGGACCTCGGGCAAAAGGCGACAACCTACCACTGGGCAGGGACCTCGGGCAACAGGCGACAACCTACCACTGGGCAGGGACCTCGGGCAACAGGCGACAACCTACCACTGGGCAGGGACCTCGGGCAACAGGCGGCAATCTACCCCTGGGCAAGGGTCTCAGGCAACAGGCGGCAACCTACCAGTAGGCAGGGGCCTCGGACAACAGGCGGCAACCTACCACTGGGCAGGGACTGCGGGCAACAGGCGGCAACCTACCACTGGGCAGGGACCTCGGGCAACAGGCGGCAACCTACCACTGGGCAGGGACCTCGGGCAACAGGCGGCAATCTACCCCTGGGCAAGGGTCTCGGGCAACAGGCGGCAACCTACCAGTACGCAGGGACCTCGGACAACAGGCGGCAACCTACCACTGGGCAGGGGTCTCAGGGACTCAACGGGCCTCTAGCTGTGGAGTCTGGCCTCAGCACAGCTCCCATCTAGCTTTCTAGGGACATTGGGTTCACGGGGACTCAACGGGTAGCGATGGCTCAAGCACTCAGGGGCAGCACAGGTAGCTATACTCCGGGCACGCCATGGGGCGGTTCAAGTAAGGGTAGTCTAGGCGTGTAGTAGGGCAGTGCATAACCCAGGTGGTCTGTGCGCACAACAGGGACAGTTCAGGACACGGGTGGTCGGTGCACACAGCGGGGACAGTTCAGGACACGGGTGGTCGGTGCACACAGCGGGGACAGTTCAGGACACGGGTGGTCGGTGCACACAGCGGGGACAGTTCAGGACACGGGGGTGGTCGGTGCACACACCGGGGACAGTTCAGGACACGGGTGGTCGGTGCACACACCGGGGACAGTTCAGGACACGGGTGGTCGGTGCACACACCGGGGACAGTTCAGAACACGAGTGGTCGGTGCACACACCGGGGACAGTTCAGGATACAGGTGGTCAGTGCGCACAACAGGGACAGTTCAGGATACAGGTGGTCAGTGCGCACAACAGGGACAGTTCAGGATACAGGTGGTCAGTGCGCACAACAGGGACAGTTCAGGACACTCACGGTAAGCAGCTTGCAGACCCTCAGCGGCAGGCGTCTCCAGACAGGGACGACCAGCGTTCCAGGGATGACCGGCGGTCAGCATTCCAGGGACAACCAGCGATCAGCAGACAGCAGCAGCTCCCCAGGAACTCAACAGCGGATGGCTTCCAGGGACACGCAGCCACGGACAGTGTGCATGGTCCCTCAGCAGCAGCTCTCAGGGCACTCAGCAGCAGACAGCTTCCAGGGACACGCAGCCACGGACAGTGTGCAGGGTCCCTCAGCAGCAGCTCCCAGGCCACTCAGCAGCAGACAGCTTCCAGGGACACGCAGCCACGGATAGTGTGCAGGGTCCCTCAGCAGCAGCTTCCAGGTCCCTCAGCAGCAGACAGGGTGCAAGGGTGCTCAGTAGACAGGCTTACAGACTTGCAGGGTCTGAGTTGTGGGGTCTGACCTTTGAGAAGACTCATGCAGAGCTGTGGAGACTCCCAACCCTGGGGTATTGTAGAGGCATTGCAGAAGTCCTGACCTTTTGGGGGTCTGCAGAGTGAACAGGGGGGATGGCTGGGGAGGCTCGGTCCCCCTCACCCGAGCCTCCCAGCATCTTTCTGGGAGCAAGATTATTCCAGCAGCATGGACAGGAACAGAGAGAGGAGGGCTGCTTCCTGTGCAGGTCTTTTGAAAATCATGTGGGACGCAGCTAGGTTGCCTTGGCAACGGCCGGCCCAGCCCTGTCCATGGAAGCCCCACAAACATCGGAATGTGCAAGGGGGAAGGGAAGGGAGGGGTGGAGGGATATGGCGGGGGATGGGAGAGGCCCTGGCAGTCCGTGACAGGGGGATTTGTGCTTGTGGATCAGAGGTCCCCCCATCACATCAGAAATCCCCCCATCACATCAGAGGTCCTTCCATCATTTCAGAAGCCCCCCATCCCCATCATATCAGAGGTCCCCCCATTACATCAGAGATCCCCCATCACAACAGAGTCCCCCCATCACATCAGAGGTCCCCCCATCACATCAGAGGTCCCCCCATATCAACTGAGGTCCCCCATAATTTCAGAAGCCCCCCATCCCCATCATATCAGAGGTCCCCCCATCACATCAGAGGTCCCCCCATCACATCAGAGGTCCCTCCATTTCAGAAGCCCCCCATCCCCTTCATATCAGAGGTCCCACCATCACATCAGAGGTCCCCCATCACATCAGAGATCCCCCCATCACATCAGAACTCTTCCATCTCGTTATAGATCCCTCTTCACATTAGAGGTCCTTCCATAACATCAGAGGTCCCCCATCATATCCAAGGTCCCCCATCACATCAGAGGTCCTCCCATAACATCAGAGATCCCCCCATCACATTAGGTCCCCCATCATATCCAAGGTCCCCCCATCACAACAGAGATCCCCCCATCACATCAGAGGTCCCCCCATATCAACTGAGGTCCCCCATAATTTCAGAAGCCCCCCATCCCCATCATATCAGAGGTCCCCCCATCACATCAGAGGTCCCTCCATTTCAGAAGCCCCCCATCCCCTTCATATCAGAGGTCCCACCATCACATCAGAGGTCCCCCATCACATCAGAGATCCCCCCATCACATCAGAACTCTTCCATCTCGTTATAGATCCCTCTTCACATTAGAGGTCCTTCCATAACATCAGAGGTCCCCCATCATATCCAAGGTCCCCCATCACATCAGAGGTCCTCCCATAACATCAGAGATCCCCCCATCACATTAGGTCCCCCATCATATCCAAGGTCCCCCCATCACAACAGAGATCCCCCCATCCATCAGAGGTCCCCCCATATCAACTGAGGTCCCCCATAATTTCAGAAGCCCCCCATCATATCAGAGGTCCCCCCATCACATCAGAGGTCCCTCCATTTCAGAAGCCCCCCATCCCCTTCATATCAGAGGTCCCACCATCACATCAGAGGTCCCCCATCACATCAGAGATCCCCCCATCACATCAGAGATCCCCCCATCACATCAGAACTCTTCCATCTCGTTATAGATCCCTCTTCACATTAGAGGTCCTTCCATAACATCAGAGGTCCCCCATCATATCCAAGGTCCCCCATCACATCAGAGGTCCTCCCATAACATCAGAGATCCCCCCATCACATTAGGTCCCCCATCATATCCAAGGTCCCCCCATCACAACAGAGATCCCCATCACATAAGAGGTCCCTCCATCACTTCAGAAGCCCCCAATTCCCATCATATCAGAGGTCCCCTATCACATCAGAGGTCCCCCATTACATCAGAGATCACCCCATCACATCAGAGGCTCCTCTTCACATCAGACGCCCCCGTCACATCAGAATTTTTCCATTTTGTTATAGATCTCTCTTCACATTAGAGGTCCTTCCATCACTTCAGATGCTCCCCATCACATCAGCGGTCCCCCTTCACATAAGAGGTTCTTCATCACATCAGAGACCCCCTCTTTATTCCGGAATTCCTCCCTTCACATCAGACTCCCCCATCACATGAGAAATCCCCTCTTCACATGCGAGGCCCCCAATCCCATCAGAGATCCCCCTTCACATTATAGCCTCCCTTCACATCAGAGGTCCCCCCATCACATCAGAGGTTCCCCCTTCACATTAGTGGTCCCATTACCACATCAGATGCCCCCATCACGCCAGAGGTCTCCCCTTCACATCAGAGATTGCCCTTCATATCAGAGATCCCAATACCACCTCCGATACCCCATCACATCAGAGATGCCCCATCTTATCATAGCCCACCTTCACATCAGAGGTCCCCCATTACATCAGAGATTCCCCCTTCACATGGTACCCTGGTTGAGCAGCACTCTAATAAAGGACCTTGTCCCAGCACTGCGAGGAGAGTATGGATACCCTTTGTTGTTGAAGAATATAATGCTTGGAAATATGCTGAAGATGAATGGAGCCTTCCAGTAATTACCAGAGTAAAGTCCTATGTATGGGAGTGCTGCTACTTTGTTTCTGTGGATGCCACTTCTTCTGTAGGGGGGATTCCCAGAAGTCCCATAGCAGGGAATACAATACCATACAAAGCATGTTCTCTACATTGCTGCATGATGTATGAATGGAAGACCTTTGTCACCCCCTCCTGGACAGACACAGTAATGCGTTTGCTTTAAAATCGGTTTGCATGTTGTAGTGTTATTCCTTCAGAAAAAGACAAAGAAAGAGGAACTAAAAATAATGACTTTAGTCAAAAAAAGACAATATATATAATAAATGTAGATATTGATTATATATATATATATATATATATATATATATATATATATATATATTATTATACATACATACATACACACACACACACACACACTATATTGCCCCAAGTATTGAGCGGCCGGTCTTTCCACACACATGACCTTTAATGTCCTCTCAGTCTTAGTCTGTAGGGTTCAATATTGAGTTGGCCCCGCCCTTTGCACCTATAACAGCTTCAACTCTTCTGGGAAGGCCGTCCACAAGGTTTAGGAGGGTGTCTATGGGAAGGTTGGACCATTCTTCCAGAAGCACATTTGTCAGGTCAGGCACTGATGTCGGGGGAGGAGGCCTGGCTCACAGTCTCCGCTCTAATTCATCCCAAAGGTGTTCTATGGGGTTGAGGACTCTGTGCAGGCCAGTCAAGTTCCTCCACCCCAAACTGGCTCCTCCATGTCTTTATGGACCTTGCTTTGTGCACTGGTGTGCAGTCATGTTGGAACAGGACCAGGCCATCCCCAAACTCTTCCCACAAAGTTGGGAGCATGGAATTGTCAAAAATGTTGCCTTAAGAGTTCCCTTCACTGGAACTAGGGGGCCAAGCCCAATACCTGAAACACAACCCCACACCATAATCCCCCCTCCACCAAAAACTTTACACTTGGCACAATGCAGTCAGGCAAGTACTGTTCTCCTGGAAACCACCAAACCCAGACACGCCCATCGGATTGCCAGACAGACACTTGATTGGTCACTCCAGAGAACACACCTCCACTGC